AGTCAAGAAGACTAAAAACCTCTGCAGGAATGACTTCCAACTGGGATGATGCATAATTGCTCGAAAACGAAAGCGGATGCCTCGTTGACTGCGTCAACCCGAAGGTCGTATTAAAATCAAACGGCTGCAAAATAACTGGAATCGGCCGTCGTCTTTGGTGAGATCAACCAACAAATCTCTCCGTCATTCACTTTCATGCGAAATGAAAATCTCAAGATCAAAGACTTGTGCCTACTACTTCCAGAAGACTTCGAAGGATTCAATAGAGCTGCCGTCAAGGCAATATTGGCTTATTCCCGAAAAGGTAAAAAAGATGTACGAAAGTGCATTTTTCATACTTGTCTGACGGTAGATCCCGCAACGTGTAGTGTTGTGTGTAACGGCAAGCAGCCTAGTTTAATTGACATAATCATTAATAATAATTAGGAGGTTGACAATCTGTCGGCAAAATCGCTTACATTTGCAGCTATGCGAGGGAAGCCAGGGCATAAGATAGTTGCCAAGTTGACGAAGTTGACATAGTAAAATAAGGAATCATACCACCTGGCCACGAGGTGAGGATACAGATTGTGGTGTGCGCTTGTGCCGGTAAAAATACAAAGCAAAGTGATGTTAATGCAGCTATGCTACGAGATGTCGCCCACCTGTCCGCCTCCTGAAGACCATTGCTACTGGGCGTCACGACGATTGGAACCTGGCCACCACCCGAAATCCCTAGCGGAGCCTCCGTGGCGATACCGACTCGCCTGGCCTGATTGGCCGCGGCCAAAGCCACAACCGATGGATGCGCCGTCTTGACGGGTTGAGCCGGAAGTCTGCCAATCGGCAGCCCGGTGGCCGGGCTCCCCTCGGAGACGTAGGAGATCCCGCCACCCTGACCCATGGGCCCCAGAGGTACCAGCTGACCATCGACACCTCGTAGCAGGCCCCCATTGACCATGGACATGGGCCCTCCGAACCCACCACCGGCCGCCCCAGTCAGAGGTACGTCGAGCCGAGTCTGCGTCTGGCCACCAGTCGCCTGGCGGAGGCCAGAATGGGCTATATCGTGACGACCGGAGCCCCGTTTGCTACTGCGGCGTCTCGTCCACTCGGCCAATGTGCGTCCAATGATGCCGCCAGTCTGATCGCGCTAAGTTAAGGATGGAAAGTTCCAAAACCTATCATTCGCATTGAACCATAAAATGCACGAATACGTTGCAAGAAGTTTCGCCTTCATTCTCGAACATTTTTACCCAGCAGGTAGAGACACTTCAAGACATAAAACATGCATAAATTAAAACTTCGTATTTCGGCTTAAAAAGTATCAAATCAGTTGTTTAAGATTTGAAAAAACTATACAGGCTTTAGAGAAGTGGGTTGACCTCGTTGTCGCAACATGTTCTTGTTGTCAGGCAGACTTGGTAGAACTCACCTAGTCCGAAGTCGTCTGCCATGGTAGTTGTCATGATTCCCAGAATCCGAGAGTATACTTGGTACATTCTCAAACGTTTCGCCGGCATCGTAGTCGGCATCATCAATGAGTGCTGCCATTCTCTGCACCAAGACACGAACTTGTCAAAGAGACAAGGGAAGTCAATCCCTCGACAAACGTTCTGCCAAAAACGGTTACACTATCACTCCTCT